TAGATGAATCAAATAATTTTAATAAGAAACCAAGACATCACAGTAAGAATATAATTTTCAAACTGATACTGTCTATATATATAAATTCTTAATGTCCTTCTCTCTAGCAAAGTACAATGCCCTGACCTCCAAGCTGAGATACATCTGTTCTCCAATTCTAGTATGAGAAAAGGAGTCAAAATGACCCCAAATTTCTTTCATGAGAACTAGAGCACATCTTATGAGAGGGCTATATGATTTTCCAATTAGATGATTGTAAACCCCATTAATGTGAACACTAAATTCTCAGACACCTGAGAAACTTAAGTTTTTGTTTCTTATCCAAAACCAACTCATGATCTTCTTGGCTCTTCATGAAATGCTTCCTAAATCGGGTATATTTTCTTCCAGAAGGAATACCAAGGTATCACTGAGCAATTCTTTTTTTTTTTGCCTACAATTAAAACACTATTCCAACCTTACCTGGGGCTTTGGTAGAGTCCTCCTAATTGTGATGCAAAGCTCCTCCAGTGCATTGGATGCCTAATGAAAATGAAGATATATAGGCCAACCTTGTGCTTTAACAATATTTGCATAGAATATGTAACTGTCGAATATTAGGAGTGCAAGGATATTCCAAACACCCAGAATAGATTCCTTCTCGTGTCCCATCAAAACTCTGTAGAAATCCCTTGGTTTCTTTCATGACAAAAACTTGGCTCCTACAAGTAAAACCTTCCTTCCAACCAGGGGTGGGGCGGGGGGGAATGTTATGTACTGTATATATGCACTGATTAAGGCTTCCACGGTGGTCCAGATACATAGTTCTCTCATACTTTCTAAGAGTCCGTGAAATTGTATGACTGAGAGAAACTAGAACAGTGCCAAAAGAGGGATTATTCCTCCCAGCTTGTAGCAAAGTTTGAATCTACATGCCAAAGCTGTGAGCTTCACTGAATATTACTCATTAGTGGCTAATTTGAAAATCCTGCAAGTGCTTGCAAACAATGGGAGTTGGAGGGAAAGAAGCCGCACATGGTGCACCTCATCGGAGTTACCACCCTTCCAGGCTGCTGACTGCACACCCCAGGATCAGGTTTTTCAAAGCATCTGAGCACAGAAGTAGGGCAGGGCTCCCTGTGGTTAGGAGCCGGCTGGGTGTGGTGAGGACTAACACAAATGGACAAGCAGGGGCGAAACCTGCTTTGCACAGAATTTAGCACACTAGAACCATGAACAATTGATTACTTAATGCATGTTAGAAGTAACAAGGAGCTGGAACAGTGTGGGGGGGAGCAATTTAATTCGTAGTTAAAAACGTGGGCTGTGGAGTTGAGCAGCCTGTCACTGCTCAAAGGCAGTGCAAGTTCCATTTCTACTCATTAGCTGTGTCACCTTGGGCTGGTTACCTAACCTCTCTAAACTTCAGTATCTTCAGCTATAAATTGGGGATGACAACATCACTGCAGAGAGTTCTTGGAAGGATTAAATGTAGGTAGAGCTCTTAGCACAGTGCCAGGTACATAGCAATTAGTTAACAATAATAGCATTAAAGAATGTGTGGCCTGTAAAGCTGGATTTACAACTGAAGTTACTCTTCATGTAGGAGATAGGTCAGAAAGGATTATTTGGGGCCACCCATATCCTCACCCTTTGAACAACAGTGCATGTTTAACATGGTGGGCTGAAGTTAGGGATACAGATGGAGTCATGGATCAGCTTCTCTGAACATCCTCCCCAGCACATCAGAGGCCTGCTTTGTTCTCTTCCATGTGCTTGTCTGCCATGCAGATTGTTGGGATGTTTACTAATAATATGAAATGGCTCCTATTTCTGTAGTGCTTCACTAGCTTACAAAACACTTTCATACACCTAATTCACATTTTGTCCTTAAAATGCATCCGTGTGTTATGAAGGACAGGAATCGTTCTTCTCGTATGTAAAGGAAGTGAGGTTCTAAGAGACTAGCATTTCCTCGATACCACACGTGGCTAATGGTTGGTCAAGTGTGGCCTGGGAGCTGGGTCGTCGGACCTGCAAGTATTCCCGTGTTTCACTGGCAATGACTGTGAAGCCTGTGACCAGGGAGTTGGATGAGAGAAAGAGTACCAACGCTGATACACTCTTTCCCACGTTTTCCCTTCAGCGTTGGGTACATAGGTCACCCCATAAAAAATACGGAAACAGATTCCTGAAACTTCCTTTTATGGCCCATTTAGAAATGTTATAAAATACAAAACAATAAAAAAATATATATCTGGTGGTGTCATGTGTCTCTTAACACACAAAAGAATAAATGTAGCGTCTCCCAAGAACACAGCTTTGAAGCCGGATGAGGCTTCGCAACAAGACCGAAGTTTGAAGGGAAAAGTTTTAAAACAAACTGTATTTTTTCCAGCCACCCTTCTCATGAAACCATTATTCCTGGAGCTACAACTATTCTTTAAGAGTTTTTCTTATACTAAATTTTTAATACTTTATTTTTTATTTGTGAACCTTTATTTTCCATTTGGTAAAAATGTTTTGAAGCACTGTTCAGAAAATCATATAAATAATAAAATTATAACTAATGTGAAAAGAAGTGATTTTTAAATTTTTTTTAGTTTATTTATTTTGAGAGAGAGAGAGAGAGAGAGAGATGAGAGAGAGCAGGAGCGGGGGAGGGGTAGAGGGGCAGAGAGAGGGAGGGAGAGAGAGAATCCCAAGCAGTTCCACACTGTCAGCACAGAGTCTGATGTGGGGCTCAATCCCACAAACCATGAGATCATGACCTGAGCCAAAACCAAGAGCCAGACGTTTGACTGCGTCATCCGGGTACCCCGAAAAGTAGTGATTTTTAAAAATTGTTTTAGTGAATGTAAACGATGTCATAGTAAATTGACCAAGCTCTCTTCAAAAGGTACACAGTCTCCAAATCCAGTAGAAGCTTCATTTAGCTTCATGGTGTCTAGATGAGTGAGTGCTTTTAATTCATCCTTTTAGTACTGCAGAAATAGAAATGATTCTGAGGGTGTTCTTGAATTTTAAATACAATGCAAAAGCTTACGTGCTAATTAACACCCATCATATGTTACATGTCCATCAGTGCTTCTCCTATAATTTGAATTATTCATAAATGTCATCTCTTGTGATCCTGGTCTTGCTTTTTCATCTAATGCCACTAACTCCCTGCAAGTGACCCTCTGCAAACTGAGAAATGGATTGAGGAAGGAGAAATACAGCATTTCTCTACCTGGGCCGTGATGACATTCTGGAAGGACAAAGCATGGCACCTTAGCCAGACCATGTTGGTGTTATGCCCCAGGCACATTGCTGATTGTTCTGAAAGAGGATGAGCCAAGAGCCTCTCCTGAGCCCTCCTCTCCATCCAGGAAACTGTTGACACTGATGAAGAGAGAGCGAACGCTGAGGCTAACTCTGCTACACCTGTGCTGGAAGCAGAGCTGCAGACAGAACAGCAGTGTCCAGTCCAGTGGTTGCTGTGTAAGGAGGACACGCTTATTTTCAACTCCTCACGCTTCGCGTGCAGGAGCTAGACTAGCACTCCTCACTCCCCAACCCTCTCTGAACTCTTTGCTGTGGGAAGGGGACAGAGTTACCTGAGAGGTAACTGAGTGGAGGAAACTGGGCACATTCAGCCCTTTCCTCTTAAAGAGCCAGCTGTCTGGCCAGATGTTTAGGTTGAGTCTCTGCCCTGTGCCAGCAAACCCGACTGGTGGGGAGGCCTCAGGTCACTGTCTAACCCCAGTTTAATTCTGGGAATTAAATTCTGGAGTTAAAGTCTGGGAATTCTTAGCAAACACTCTGGGCATCAGATCTGAGGCCACATTCACAAATTGACTATTTTGAACTCCCCAAGTCTGACTTCACGTTCCTCTCTGCCTGGGTTTCAAACTCAACTGAGGGACAGTTGGGATATGAGCCTCCAAATGCAACCATAGGCACATTATTTTTAATCTAACACAGAATTTGATTTTGAAATTAGCATTTTGATTTCCAAAATATGTGCATACTATCTGCAAATCTATTTTACTTAGAGACAAATGCCCCAGCATGACCTTACAACATAAACTCCTAGAACTGATTATTGCCTGCGGATAATGTAATAATTTCTAAAGTGTTGACATGTTTAATAAGTCCATAAAGTAATGACGGGTCCAAAGGGAGAAATGGAGTGACAACTGCTTATGTTACTATAAAACATCTTCAATTGGAATTACCTGAGGCTGAGAATCAAGGGACAGGAAAGACGAACAGGCATCATCTATCTGTAGAAAATAAAAAATGCCAGTTACACCTTGGAAAAATAGACAGAAAAGAGCAGAAAATGGGAAGTAGATTTTACAAAGTCAAGTTACCTAGGTACCATTAATTTAAGTTCTGAGACAGTTCAGGACTCTGGATCTGGGCAGGAAGAGCCTGTTAAACTTTCTAAGGAAGTCCTGGAATTGGGATCTCCCCAAGATTTACCTCCAGCCACAGGGCTAAATGGTCCCCAAGGACAGTTGATAGGGATCGCCAGAGAGTATACAGATGCTTCAAATACTGAGAGAAACACACTTTGGGTATTCAGCCTGAGAAAAACGAGCGAGCGATGAAGAAAGAATGGCCTCAAAATTAAGGAGCACCCTGTTATCATGTGGTTCTTTATCACGTAAGTCTAATCACATCATCTAAATGAACATGATAATAGAAGTGCTAAATGAAAAGTAGCTTGATACATAGCACCCAGAAAAAACTCTTACACAACAGCAATCTACTAGTTCTCTACCAAGAAGCCAGCATCAGGAAAGGATTCTATTTGCAATGAAGGTTTATTGGGGAATCAGTAAAGGTTTCACCACATTCTTTACATCTGTAAGGTGTCTCTCCAGTACAGACTGTCTTATGTCTATTTAGAATTGACGACTGACTAAAGACTTTTCCAGATTCATTACATCTATACGGGTTTTTCCAACATGGATTCTCTGATGTTCAGCAAGATTGGGGGACTCATTAAAAGCTTTCCCACATTCATTACATTTATAAGGATTATCTCCAATATGGATACTCTCATGTGTAATAAGGTCTGAGCTTTCAGAAAAGATCTCCTTGCATTTATTACATTTATCATGGTTCTCTGGAAAGTGACTCCTCAGGTGTTTATTAACATTATTTGAGCCTTGGGGTCCCTGGGTGACTCAGTCTGTTAAGCATCTGACTCTTGAGTTCAACTCAGGTCATGATCCCAGGGTTGTGGGATCGAGCCTCGCATTAGGCTCAGTGCGGAGCCTGCTTGGGAATTCTCTCCCCCCCCACCCTGCCCCCCCTCAATCTGTCCCTCCCCCTCATGCATTCTCTCTCTCTCTCTCTCTCTCTCTCTCTCTCTCTCTCAAAAAGAAAATAGATTTTGGAAACCCTTTAATCAGTGCTCAAACCTTATTTAATACTACGGAATTCATACTAGAGAGAAACCTTACAAATGTAAAGAATGTGGTAAAACCTTTAAGGACTTTTCAACCCTTACTCACCATTTCAGAGTTCACACTGAGGAGAAACCTTACAAATATAAAGAATGTGGCAAGTCTTTAGATGGAATTCACAATTTATTCACCATCATAGATACCATACAGGAGAGAAACCATAAAATGTAAAGAAAATGACAAAGCCTTTAACTGGAATTTAGTCATTATTTGGTATCCCCAAAGGCACACCAGCTTCAAACCCTGGAAATGTGATGAAAGAGGAAAGACCTTTGTTGTAAATACACAGCTTAGAAAACACCAGAGTGCATAAAGGAATATAACTTTAGAGATATAAAAATTTAGAAAAGTATTTAGTTGAACATCAAATATCAATAAATGTCACGATTGACAGTAGAAAGCAGTAAGTCAGTGACTCCTTTCAGACATTACTTTAAGCCAGAGTATGAGAAGGAATATAAGTTAAATGCTTAGATACTGTATTTGCTAGCATGCTTCAAAAGATAAAGGGGATGGATTTTTGGACAGGTATAATTAATTACAACATGCTTTTTTATATTGACCTTATTTGACATTTGTAACTAGCAAATTTTAATGTATTTCTACTCTCAAATTACTTCATTGAAATACCTGTTTTCCCTAGTGGGTGTGGGAAATCATGTGATGATTGTTGCTGCATGAAAGATAATGTGACACTCTTCTTCCTGTGGTGGGATTCATGCATATCTGTTTTTCCTTTGAAGATTAAGGACAATATAATATATATGAGGAAAATCTAAATGGAGATACTGTTTGTAGTTGACTTATAGCATTGATGGAAGTTACCGTGAAATGGATGTTCACACAATCATCTGTGTTTTGTATAACTGAGGGACATTTTGAATTTTATAAATAAAATCTGATATCAAATGGTCTTTATGAAAAAAAGAGGTGGCAATACAATAAAATACTGTTGTATTTTTGTAATAGTAATAGAAGTAGAGAATGTTAGTTGTGGTAGCAATAAAGAAATCTTTACAGATTAAAAAAAAGGTTTATTGAACTACAGTTGACAGCTGTTCTCAGCCTTTATCTCTTTTTCTAAGAGAAAAACTGAAAGACTTTAAACTACTATAAGAGATTTATATTAATCACTAAACTAACTGTGCTGCAAAAGTTAAACACTAAGCTGGATGTCTGGAGCTTATTTCTTTGCTGGCCTTTTAAAATGGGACTGGAAAAAAACAGTACTGATTTGTGTCTGTCTGGGATGATTTAGGTTGAGTCCTATTTATGGTCAACATCTCAGAATTCTTTGCTGATCAGTTTAATTTAATTTCCATCATTATACTATACTGAAGGGGGAATAATCATACTCTTTGGTCATAATTCCTCATGCTCCTTACTGCTTCCAAGTGAACATGTACTTAAATATATGATTCTCGGGGCGCCTGGGTGGCGCAGTCGGTTAAGCGTCCGACTTCAGCCAGGTCACGATCTCGTGGTCCGTGAGTTCGAGCCCCGCGTCGGGCTCTGGGCTGATGGCTCAGAGCCTGGAGCCTGTTTCAGATTCTGTGTCTCCCTCTCTCTCTGCCCCTCCCCCGTTCATGCTCTGTCTCTCTCTGTCCCAAAAATAAAAATAAAACACGTTGAAAAAAAAATTTTTACATATATGATTCTCTAATTTAGAGAATAACAAAGGCATACAGTATCATATAAGAGCAAAGGCTTAATGTCTCTCTCCTTTTATCCTCACAGAGCCTGCTATCTTCTCTAGATGCCACAAATATTTAGGAAATTGTTCTATTCCAGTCATTCCTTGTGCCCACCCACCTCCTCCCTCTTCCATGCCATACAAATCCGGAATCATGACTACAAACACACACACACAGTGATAAACTTCTTGAGGGCGGAGGTTATGCCATATCTAACTTGCCCAGAATAAGTGTTCGATAAATATTCTTTAATTAAATTGCATTGAACCTATGGAAAGAAAACAAAATAAAAAGAGAAGTCAACTGAGGGGAAAGGCAAAAAGGGGAAAGGCAAAAAGATACCTTTTTTAAAGCTTTGAATTGTGACCAATGCTTTAATATATCGCTTCCAAATGTTACTTAGTTTGCTAAGTTTGCTCAGTTACTTAGAGGGTAGGAGGAACGGGTTCCTCCAGTAACATTTTTGTGATACTTAGATAGCTGCAGATATCACATGCTCAAAGGCAAAGCTGTCCACCCGCAGACCAGGCTGCTGCGTGGGTGAGGTGCCCGGGTCCAAAAACAGCAAACTCTTGAACCTAAGGGCTGATGAATCAGTGCATCAATGTTGTTTGCATAAAAATATCCAAATAAGAAAAAGAAAACACCAATTAATCAAATTGGGAGATAATTGCAAAGCTTTTCAATCTTTGTTCTCTTTTCTTTAAAAGGCACAGCAACATTGCTCACCCACTTTCCATTTGGATAAGCATTTATTCATTTTACTCAGCTTGTGGCCCTAATGGTTTTAAGTGCCACTAATTGCTTTTGAGAACTCTGCAAAATCCATTGACGAATCTGTTTGAAAATGGTTAGGTCTCTGTAAATGGTTTGAAAAGGATGTGTTTCTAGTGTCTGAAGAGCTCAGTAATTTTTAAAACCCCCAGAAGAAAAGTGCATGTTTTAGCATCTTAATTTCTTTAAATATCTTTTTCTATAAAAGAATCTATAGTGCTTTTACAACTCTATTTGAGGTTTCCCCCAGCTTTCTCATCTAAAATATTTTTTCAAAGATTTTCCACAGAAATATAGATAATTCCAAGCTAAAATAAATGTCTCTGTATTATACATTAATGTCTGTTGTCAAAATTATTCTTCATCTTGTTTATATGCCTCTAGCATGTATTTTGATACACTAAGGCAGAGAACATTATAATTGATTTTATGAATTTTTATGCTATTAGAGATTACTTAGTACTTGGCACTTACTATCCATCTCATCTCTTCCTTTATGTATTTTGTTAGTGGTGGCTTAGGTGAACAGAATATTCTCCTCAGCTCTTAGTTCACAATCATCATTGAACCTGCTTTATTTATTTATTTATTTATTTATTTATTTATTTATTCTTTTATATTTCAATTTCCTACTCCTGTTTCATCCACTCGTGGGCAACTCTTCTTATGTATTTGATGTGTATCCTTCATTTGTTTATGTTCTTGAAAAATCTGTATTACTATTTGGTGTGCATGCATGGTGTTTCCTTATTTTTTACATTTAACACTATACTTTGAGATCTATCCATGTTACTGGGGACATCTAGTATGTTGCTCCTAGCTGCTGTAGAATACTCTATAATGTGCATCTACACATGCATCTACAACACGCTTGTTGCCTTTCCCGCTCCCCAGTGATAGACAGCGGGGTTTCCTCCAATTCTATTCAAGCAAAGCTGTAATCAACCTCCTCGTATTTATCCTCCACTTACGAATCTGTTGAAGTTATCTTTGGGCTATCTACCCAGGAGAGGGAATGCTAGATCATGGGGATATCTAGGTTGCTTTCCAGATGTCTCCACCAATTGACACTCTCACCAATAATGCATGAGGTGTGTACAACCCACATCCTTGCTAACACTTGCCATTATCTAGATTTCAATTTTTTTTTTTGCCAATCTAAATGGGTAGAGAGTAACACTTTGTTGTTGTCTTGATTTTCATTTCATTGTTACTAATGAATCTGAGCATCTCTTTACATGCTTATTGGCCTTTTAGGTTTCCTCTTTGTAAATTGTCTGTTCTATCCTTTGACAACTTTTGCCTTAGAGCCTTATCTTTATCCAATTGGTTTGATAG